GGAGGTCGCAACAAAACACCTCCCCAAATATGACGCTGCTAGCGACACCGTTCCCGAGTCCAAGATTCGAACCAAGGAACCATGCCCCTCGTCCGAGGCTAAAATCAGCGCTTTCTTGGATCGAAGGCAATTCTTCACGGAAAATCGGCTTCCGGAGAAGAAGCCTAAGACGCTCCTAGACCTCGCTTGGCAGACGTACAATGATAAGGTCTTAATTCTCCTTACCATTGCGGCCGTCGTATCCCTCGCCCTTGGCCTCTATCAGACTTTTGGCGGCAGTCACGAAAATGGCGAGCCCCGTGTAGAATGGATTGAGGGTGTTGCCATCCTCGTCGCAATTATCATCGTTGTCCTTGTTGGAACGCTCAACGACTGTAAGTTTACCTCATTCCCAACTATTGCCTCTATATCAGCGTGCAGATTTAACCACTATCAAAAGGGAACATGCAGCGTCAATTCAATCAATTAAATAAGCAGCAAAGTGATCGCACTGTCAACGTTGTCCGATCCGGAAAGACCATGGAGATCTCCATCTTTGACCTCCTGGTTGGCGATGTTGCACTCCTTTCCGTAGGGGACTTAGTGCCGGTCGATGGTGTTTTCATCAATGGATTTGGCGTCAAGTGCGACGAATCCACCGCGACAGGTGAATCGGATCTAATGAAGAAAGTACCTGCGGATACAGTCTTCGCTGCCCTTAGCGATGTGGCCGAGGGGAAAGCGGGGGGTATCAACATTCATAAGCTGGACCCTTTTATTATCTCGGGAAGTAAAGTCCAGGAAGGGTCGGGCTCCTTCTTAGTCACGGCTGTCGGTGTTAACTCTAGCTATGGCAGTATTACTATGTCCTTGAGAACCGAACAAGAAGACACTCCTCTACAGAAAAAGCTCAATGTCTTAGCTGACAAGATCGCAATATTTGGGGGAGGAGCGGCCCTAATACTCTTTATCACCCTTTTTATCAAGTTTGCCGCTGGGTTGCCAACTAATCATCAAACAGCGGACGAAAAGGGAAAGGAGTTCCTAGAACTTTTTGTCATCAGCGTTACTATAGTAGTGGTTGCAGTACCCGAAGGGCTACCCCTCGCCGTTACCTTGGCGCTTGCATTTGCTACAACTAGGATGATGAAGGATAACAATCTAGTTCGAATCCTGAAGGCATGTGAGACGATGGGGAACGCTACCGCGATCTGCTCCGATAAGACTGGTACTCTTACCCAGAACAAGATGACTGTTGTCGCTGCAACTTTGGGCAAAGCCATCTGCTTTGGTAATAAAGATAACGCCTTGGATGCAGATCGAGCCCTAGATGATAAAGCACCCCCAGTTTCTATTCCATGTGTCCCCGTCAGCGAATTCGTCCGCGCTCTCAACGACGAGACTAGGCAACTGATTGTCCAGTCTAGTACGGTCAATTCCACTGCATTCCAAGGCGATCAGGATGGGAAGATGACATATATAGGTTCTACGACTGAAGCCGCGTTACTAGCATTCAGTCGAGACCACCTTGCTGCCAGGCCAGTCCAGCAAGAGAGGGAGAATGCCGTCATCGTTCAGCAAGTCCCTTTTGACTCATCCATTAAGTTCATGGCGTCCGTTGTTAAACTTCCCAGCGGGAAGTTTAGAGCCTACGTAAAGGGTGCATCGGAAATCGTCCTCGACAAATGTACCCAAACCATCTCGGATACCAAGAGTGACGGTGTGTCATCAGTAGAGATGACAGAGGAAGACCGTGAGCTCTTCAAGCAGAAAATTACTAGTTATTCTAGCCAGGCTCTCCGAACTATTGGTTTTACATATCGTGATTTTGACTCTTGGCCGCCTGAGGGTACTGAGGCTATTGACGATCCCAACGCCGCCGATTTTAGCAAGATACATAACCACATGACCCTCGTTGCTATCTTCGGCATTCAAGATCCACTTCGATCAACCGTCATTGATGCTCTTAAGGACTGTCAACGAGCCGGTATTGTTGTTCGCATGGTTACGGGCGATAATATCCTGACCGGAAGCGCTATTGCCCAAGAGTGCGGAATCTACCATCCCGAACAGGGAGGCACTGCTATGGAAGGACCCGCGTTTCGTCGGAAGAGCGAGACTGAATTAAAAGAAATCGTGCCTCATTTGCAGGTCCTCGCCCGATCTAGTCCGGAAGACAAGCGCATCTTGGTGCAGACCCTCAAAAGCCTCGGGGAAACGGTTGCTGTTACAGGCGACGGCACGAACGACGCCCCAGCACTGAAATTGGCTGATGTTGGTTTCGCGATGGGAATCGCTGGCACTGAGGTGGCTAAGGAGGCGGCGGACATTATCTTACTGGATGATAACTTCGCCTCCATTGTCAAGGGTGTTTGTTGGGGTCGAGCCGTCAATGACAGCGTTAAGAAATTCTTGCAGGTAAGTCCACAATCAGGAGTGCCTAGATTTATTTCAGTCATTGGTATCTATGTTAACGTCTTTCCAAGTTTCAACTCACTGTTAATGTTACGGCTGTTGTGCTGACTTTCGTTTCCGCTGTCTATTCGAGCAAGGGGGAATCCGTCCTAAACGCCGTGCAGTTGCTTTGGGTAAATCTCATCATGGATACCTTTGCAGCTCTAGCGCTGGCCACCGACCCTCCAACCGCCACTGTTCTAGATCGCAAGCCAGACAGAAAGTCCGCCCCTCTCGTTACGTCTCGAATGGGCAAAATGATTGTGGCGCAGGCCATAGTCCAATTGGTCATTTCTTTCGTACTTTACTTTGGAGGCCCCACGTTGCTTGGATATCGCATCAACGATCTCAATTCGCAGACGGCAACGAATGACGGTAAACGACTAAACTCGCTGGTCTTCAACACGTTCGTCTGGTTGCAGATATTCAACGAATTCAACAACCGGCGGCTAGATAATCGGCTCAATTTCTTCGAAGGCATCACTCGTAATTGGTTCTTTGTGGCCATCAACATCATAATCATTGGTGGACAAGTGCTTATTATTTTCGTCGGTGGGGAAGCGTTCAAGATTGTCCCACTGGATGGCAAAGAGTGGGCTTTGTCGATCGGTCTCGGAGCCATCTCTATACCTTGGGGTGCCGCCGTGCGTAAGTTCCCGGACTCTTGGGCGGAAGCGATCGGGCGGACTGTAACTTGGCCGTTCTCCAAGCTCTTGCCTTCTTTTAAAAAGAGCAAGAAGAAGGACGACGAGGTGGCAGAAGGTGGACAGGCGGGGGAGCCCAAAGATCCGGAAAATATTCGTCCGCCTCTAAGGGTGATGAGTAGCATTAGAGGCCCTAGAGTGAGAGAACACATTGGTCTCCGACAGCGAGCGCATAATGCCAAAGAAAAAACGAAGGATAAAATACACGACATGAGCCATAGACCACAGCCAGATCTTCCGAAATAGACTTAAGAGACGGAGCATATTAATAGTGACAGGGTCTCGATGGAAATTATTTGAATGGGCAATGGTGGCTTTTAAGGCAGACAGGGCTGTTGATATTTATTTACCGGTATACGTTACAACATTTTAGCTAGGTCTTCACTGTAATAATTTCTGCTGATTTGCTACTAAGATGTATTTCCAAATAGCATCGATATGTTGTAGCCCTATCGCTTTCATACGCGTCTCTTCTAGTTATAAATTTTCACCCTATCCGGTTGTTGCTATTCACGTATGCGCATTGGCGGCTTTTCATCGTAGTATAGAACGAATGCAACAGGGCATGCTGTAAATTTTAACAAACCTACAGCTACAGCGTATCATATAAAACGACTTTAGAAACCGAATTATCGTCTTTCCACGACGTCATTCAGCATCTTCACTAAGGAGCGGTTTCTAAGCAACCAACTAGATCAGCAAATTAAGCTAATGATTGCATCAACCAATGGGTGGAGATGGGGAAGCACGCATCATGGGCTGTCAATTGAACGTCATTGTCAAATGCCAAATACCAAACTCGCCATCCCGATCGTGTTCTCGGCCTAAGTCGGCATATAAGATGAAGAGTCCTTCCCTAAGCTCGATTACGCACCCGAATATTCTTCACTTCACAATATCTCAATTCAAACGACTTTTAAAATAATGAGTCGTTATTCCGGCACCAACACCAATGGCAATGGTGAGACTGGTTTATTGACCCGATGGGTTCCCGAGAAGCTAAAGCAATCAGCTCTCTACCGCTGGCTGCTGCGACTTACCCGGGCCCTTCAATTTCTGTCTGCCGTCATCTCTCTCGGCATCTTCTCCTCGCGGCTCTACAAGGTGTATCGCCTGGTTAACTCGCTCAAGACCTCAGTGGGCGTCAACCGTGCATTCGGAGCAGTGGAAGGGATCCTTGCAGCTGCCGTTCTCTACACACTATTGGCCATGATGATGACGTTCCTCCTCAGGGGCGGGGGTCCGAGATGGCTTCGATGGCTTTGGGTCCTGCTCGACATTCTTTTCGTTGGCGCCTTCATCGCAGTTGCCGTCCTGACTTCGCCAAATGGAGGCATGGCTGGGCCTAGGCATTGCTACAACAATAGAGACAAGGCAAATAATAACAACCTCACTGGCGAGACCGCAAGCGCCACCGATCACACCTGTAACCTACCTTGGGGCACGTTCATCTTAGCTATTATCAGCACGTAAGTCAAAAATCTTACCCGATAGGCGTTGCTTGGGTCTAACGCTGACTATACCACCAAGGATTCTTCACGCTATTACCGCTGCATTTCATGAAGTGCGCAATCGTCACAAGCAGCGTCATGAAAAGGCCATGCTGGAACGGAATAGTGAGTCTGCAGAGCAGCAGATGTAATATGGATGAGGGATCGAGACGGAAATAGTTAAGTAGTAGTGACTAATTTTCGCGTCGATACTGGTTTGGGATTTGGGAAATACTTGACTCGCTATTACAATCTTGTTCGTAGTGGCATCGATGGTGCAAAGTGTTAAAAAAAAAGACAGTAAAAAGATGAATTGCTTAAAATTAAATAATATAATATTATTAAAAGTAGCAATAATATAAATAAAAAAAAACTCCGAATCGGGGAATCGAACCCCGGGCTTGACGGTACCCGGTCGCCACCAAAGTGAAGATGAGAGCGTCAAATGTTAGCCACTACACCAATTCGGATTACTATAACGAAAAGAACAACTACTTTGCATGATGACCTGCTGCCTCACTAGGTCTCGAACTATGGAAGTCGGAAACGGTTGATCAACGATTCCTGTAGGCATTGCATATTTCTAGCTTAATTTCAAACACGGCTAGTGAATCGTTACTGCTAGCTCACCTGAGAAGATGCCTCGGGATGCTGTGCCGAATGGTGAAGTCTAGAAGTATGCGAGATTATGTCGAAGGGTCGAGGTGCAGGCCAACGTCAGGATGTTTGCTACGTGATGACAATTACTGCTCAGGAGACTACGGCGTCTTTATATGAGTGCACGCGACGGTCCTCATGCTCAATGCATGAGACCTGGCATCAGATATGTTGATCTGTTACAAATGGCTAATGCGTACTTGTTCGGCTGCCTTCGCGCGAAAATTCGCGATATGTTGGCGCACCGCGCCCCGTTGGCGAACGCGAATTTGAGAGATGAGAAGATAGAAAGAGCAATGAGGCGCCGGACCCCTCCGCGCAAACACACTCCTCTATGAAGACGGCGAGTGGCACGAGTCCGAGCCTGAGGCGGTATTGAGACACAATCTGCGTAGACGCCGTCTTTGTTTTCGGAATAAGGCTGCGTATCGGATCCATCTGCAAGTTTCTCATGAGAAACCCCTTTGCTCCATGTTGCGGAGCTTCGCCTTTGCCTTGCCGCTCACTTTGAACTAGGATATCATACCAAATGACACTCAATCTCACTTCATCGCGAAAACCTATGTTAAAGTAGACGTCAACACCACGGTTTGCGGCGTTGGTGTCTGGATTTCCACCAAAGTGCTTCTTAAAGACTGTATTTGAAGCCGAGGCAAGGGAGCCTGTGACAACATATACCTTATAAGCATCCTCTCGTCTAATTTCGGCAAGTAAGCATTAATTTCTTCTATGAGACAGTATAATGGCTTTAAAATGAGTTTACCATGTGCGACGGTAGGTGTCAGCTGGTGCCTTGTGATTAGTCATGTAGTAATAAGAGGTTAGATGTTAAGATGACGTATTAAGAGCATAGACAAGTAAGGCTCCTGGTAGCTAGAAAGTTTAGAATCGATATTGAGGAGGCTCTGGCTTCGCAAAGATGAATCGATGATAAAACTGGCTTGAGACTGAGGCTAGGCAAGAGTTTCAGAGCGTCGCAATGAAGGATTACCCAGTGGCGGTGGCTGACACGATGATTTTTATGTGCAATGTCAGTAGGCGAATATGTAGTTTACACAACGTGTTCTTCTGTTCATGATAGAGAGTGAGCGTCGGCAAGGATGTCCGCTATGAACCCGCCTGCTGTTGGCCGAGCTGATGGATTTAGTACAAACCCGTCAAAAGCTGCGGGTCTAATAATTGTCTCATAGGTACCGTATTTGGACAAGCGGGGGTCTCGATTCCCCATAGATTACCGACGCATCCGATGCGTTTTTCTGAATTTGTCCGCTAGTGGCGCAGTCATCAGAAGTCCGTGACCGCTGCACTCCATCTAACAGCACAATGGGATTGGACAGTCTCGAGCGAACAGGACCGGGTGCAGGGTTGCATCCCGAGGGATTTGGATTTGTGTATTTGTTTTGTGCATACAGCTTGTACTGCATCACCATCCCGGTCTACCTACCTACAACCTACATACATAGTAAACTTAGTGCCGTGTTCTGCGACCTGCCTTATACCGTATAAATACACGGCTTAGCGAGGTCAGAGCGAGGTCTTGGGACGGTGGCTTGGAATCCTTTCATAAATTACATAACTCCGAAATAAACAACTAAATAAGCAGCTAGCAGCAGGCTAGGTAGGTCGACGGGATCTTAGTTGGAGGAGCTCGGAGCTCTTGTTTCTATTTTCAAATCTGTCTGATCCTGCCGCCGTCTTTGTCAGCCTGCGTGCATTTTCGCACTTTAAACACCTTCAACACCACTTTGCCCACTTTGCACATGCACACCCTCTCCTCTTTTCCCTCTTCCCCGAACTCTAAACGCCTCGTGAGCAGACAAAGCCAGACAGACAGACAACCTGACCCGCCGTCATCTCATCTCATTATTCCCATATACCTGGTTCTCTTATCGCCCATTTTAGACACAACCGTCTGTTGCTACGACATACTTACGCAATGAAAAAGAGTCGGCGCGCCGAGTTCCGTAGGACCGTTGCCGAGATTGCGCAGGTTCTCTTCGCCATCCTCATTTTCATCGTCTTCATCCTCGCCTTTGTCATTCAATCCGAAGCCATTGTTTTGCCTGCCTGGACCAAGACATTCCAAGGCGCTACACCCGAACAACAGACTCAGTACTCTGCAGCATTACTAAGCGTTATCCTTGTCGTCACCGCTGTCATTGTCACTGCCGGCGTGTACCTGGTCCGATCCAGCCTTATCTGAGGACAGTCGGGATGGAATCCTAGAACAGATGAGGAGCATCCTGGGGGGGCCAACATGCGGTGTATGAGAGCTGCACCGGTGATGTGAGGCGATGGGGAGTCCCTGCGGCTGATGAGGATGGAATGGGGATGACATCATGAGCTTGCATGAAGCTCTGTGGTGAGACCGCGGTCGAAGATGGGGAAGCCGACGCAATCAATCCCCGGGATCCTGGTCGCAGAAGCAAACAGTCGTGCACTCTTTTCTCCTTCCTCAGTAAGTTCGAATTTAAACTTTGCGTTTATCAATACTAATTCCCCCAAGAGGTTAGGAGTGCTTTTGCTTTCCCCTCATCAGCCTTTTAAGCTATGCGACGGATTTACAAGACCAAGTTGATGGTATACTCGGCCAAATCAAATTGAGACGGAAACATCACTTCCAAGTTGAAGATGCCACTACCGAGAATTGAAGGCGACGTCATAAGAGCTGCGACTTAGATCTATAACACGTGCGCATTGTCGCACGGCTTTCCCGACAAGCTGCGACTCCTCCCTTTCGCCCAATCCGGATGCATCATGTCGGCTTCTTAAGATTCGGACGCATTATTGCGGCATCAATCCCCGAGTCCTGACTTCAGAGCAATCCATACACTAGGCATTTCAGCACTCGATTTGTGCTCGCGTGCGGCTTTATCAATCCTCCCGACACCCCGACCGAGAATCCCGGACCCAACCCACTGAGTTGGACGCTAGAAGGCCTACCGGCGATGAAATTAGGGCTGCTAGCGCCTCGGCTGACGTTACAGAGGTCCATGCACCAACCACCCAGCACAGAACACCAGTTCGCGAAAGTCCAAATCTGCTGGTTTGTGGTTCTCAATTGGGATGTTGGGAATAGCTGGTCCTCAAGTCCACAGTGCTGGTTTGCGATGCTACTACGCTGTCTGATTGATGATGCTATGCATACTTTACCACGATTCAGCTCATCCCGGCTCAGGGTTGTCTTGGCGGATGGCCCGGCCACCGGGTATAATTGTTGGGTCACTAGTTTATCCGAACAATCCGGAAAAGCAGGGTCTAGGAGTCCTTAAGTGTTAGGCTCGTCGCACGAGCTAATTTACCAGGACTGTCGTACATCAGCCAAAAATGAAGGATCTATTTGAATTCCCTTCCGAGCTGCCGGTCGACTCGAACTATGAGACATGCCAGGTTGAAGAGACAGGATGAGAACATGACCTAGTCGTTGGGAGATTGAATAACGCTCTTGGGCCGCTTGGGTCAAATTGCCTTAGGACTCATTGATGGTGCTACCACCCTCTAGTATAACTTGAAACAACTATGTTTTCTTGTAGGGGAGTTAGGATTGGGAATATTCAAGGATTATATATATTTAACCCTTCATCAATATTAACACATTTGCAAGCCTTCGGAGCCCTACCAAGTGACATAGCCTAGTACGCAGACCATAAGCCGTACAACGAACATGAATATTGCAGCCATGGCGTGCAGCCCGTATGTTCCCGTTCCTCTGAGCAACAACAATAACCATAGTTCCAAGACATATGCCTAAACCTGGAACCGCCGCTTAAACCCAATCTCCAGCTCAAGCGGCTTCCTCAAGAAGCCCTCCCTCGTCTCGAGCACATCCTGCCGCAAGAAGACATCGTACCTCCGCAGCCACGTCGCGGCAATCATCTTCATCTCCATCTCCGCCACGTTCCTTCCCACGCACGACCTTGGCCCGTAGCTGAAGGGGATGAAGGCGTTGCGCTGCCGCGGCGTCGCCTCCTCCCAGCGCTCGGGCCGGAACTCGTCCGCGTCCTCGCCCCAGATCTCCTTTGAATGGTGGATCGAGTACGTCGGCACGCTAAGCACCGTCCCCGGCGGGAAGTAGTGCCCGTTCAAGTGCAGGCCGCTGGGGGCGTCTAAGGGGATCTGCCGCGGCAGCCCGATGCCCGAGGTCGAGTGGATGCGCAGCGTCTCGTTGATCACGGCCTCGAGGTACGGCAGGTTGCGGACGGATTCGAAGTCTGGCACTTTTGTGGAGTTGGAGGGGATCGCGGCGTCGAGCTCCTTTTGCAGTTTTTCGAGGACACCCGGAGTTCGGGCGGTGTGGTATAAGAGCGCGCAGGAGGTGTTGGAGGTGGTGTCGGAGCCGGCGATTAGCTGCGTGAGAGCCTCTGCTGTCAACTCTTCGAAGCCTAGGGGCTCGCCCTTCTCGTCGCGGCCCTCTTGCAGGCGTGCGAGGAGGTCCTTGCGGTTGATGTCTGGCGGGTTATCCAGACGGTCCTTCACCCGCGCTATAGCGATGCCGGCTAGGTTCTCAACGGCTGCGAGGCCCTTAGAGAAGAAGGGGTCGGGCAACCACTTCGCGTATGGCTTGATGGAAGGGAGACAGCCCAGCGTTGCTGACACCTCACCTCTACGATTAAGAATCTCAACCGCAGGCGCGTAGACCGGGGGTGCGTTCAGCGACATCCGAACCTCCGCAATATCCGCGCCCGCCTTTAACATGCCGAATGGTGCGCCAAATGCGAGATCGCCGATAGTGTCGAAGGCGACGTAGTTGAACCACTTCAAGCAGTCGACGTGCGCAGTTTTGTCGCCGCGAGGCGACTTCGCTGCCAGCTCA